CCGGGCCCCCCGGGCGGGCGCTTCGCGACGCCGCCTCTCCCCGCTCGCCGGCCAAATCTCGTCTCCTCTCTCCCCCCTCCCCGCTTTCTCCAGGAGTCTAAAAAGCACCTCGCGGGACTCGGGGCGCTGGGTCTGGGGAGTCTCATCACCGAAATCACCGCCAGCGAGGACGACGCTTCCGAGGCCGATGGAGCCCAGCTGGACGAGGAGGGTGAGGAGCTGCAGCTGCTGCTTCGGCCCTGCAGGGACACGGTAGCGCGGCTGAACCGGAGCCGGGCAGTTGTGGACTCCGCTGGTTGCGTTTGTGTGCCACAGGCCCTTAGACTAAACCGTAGCCTGGTCTATTGGAGCTTGTGCTTTATTAGCCTGGTTTAGGGTTTGGTACGACGGGTGACCTCAGCCTGTCGGCCCAACGCTGTCCTGAGTGCTAAACGGGCTCTCTGGTGAGATCAGCTTTCCATCCTCCAGTGCTGTACTGAGGGAGGCAACATGGGCCTCTCAGCAAGTGGTAGAACGAGTCTGTGGGATGAACTAAGAGGCCACGTTCTAACTCTTGTTCAGGATGTTTATGCTTGTAAAACTATTGAGGGACAAAGTGTCCTTTGAGCAAACTGATTCAGATTCTTGATCTTTCACAGAGACTGCAACAGGAGAAAGAGGGGTCTCTTATTTTTTGCATGAAAGGATGTTTTTTTCAGTGCATCCAATAAAGGGGAGACTAAATGGCCCCTTCCAACACTGTGATTTCAAGATTTTTTTTCCTTGCAGGCTGGGTTAAAAGCACAGAGGATGCTGTTGATTATTCTGATATTACTGAGGTGGCTGAAGATGAGAGCCGCAGATACCGGCAGGCCATGGGCAACCTTCGTCCAGTTCAGAGAGCAGGTGGTTGGTGGCAATAATTTTTTCTGTTAATTTTGAAGCAGACAGCAGAATGGTTATGAGGTTCATGCTTCCTTGGTGCTAGCTCTTGGTCTCTGTTGCTCCTTACCTTTCTCAGCTTGTACTTTTAACAGTAACTCTTCTCAATATTCTTAGTTCTGCAAATCATTTGTTTTAAGGAGCAATTCTTACCAAGTAAGTTGCTTCTGACATAGTCAGAAGTAAACCGCCAATAACACAATGCTATAATAAGAAGGGAGAAGTCCTCCTGCTGCAAAGCTTTTATTATAAATTACTCTCTGCCCTAGGAATATTATACAGATGGGAAACCTAATCACCGTCTAATGAAATAAAATAGACCACTTCTTGGGAGATGCTTTGTATGAAGGCGAGGCAGTGGGGGAGGTGAGGAAGGGGCAATCCAGTGACTTCCTTCTTCCTTCTCAGATGACAATGATGACGACTATGATGCTGACTCAGAAGACATTGATTCCAAGCTGATGCCTCCCCCTCCCCCCCCTCCAGTGCCAGTGAAAAAGGAAGATGAGAAGGATGCAGCAATCTCTGGTGTGTGTGTACTTTTGGGCAGCTAGGGGATAGACTGAACAGCTGAGTTAGGAGCTCAGTGTATGTTTCAGAGGGAGCACTGTCTAGTTTCTGAAGTTGAGGTACTTATTTGGTGATGTGAGCCTGGCAGGGTTGATGAGGAAGGACCTTGTAAGCCTTAACTTACAAGGGTTTGCTTAAGAGCATTGACAGAGTGTTACCGAATCAATCCCGTGCTTGTCTCAGCCAGGGCTGAAGATTTTAAAGTCCTTTTTACACTTACAGCTTTTGTTTCTTCATTGTGAATTCATTTTGAGGTTTTTTTTCATGGATTCCCTCAATGTTAGATTCCATTTGCTGAATCGGCGGTTTAGGTGTCTGGATCGTGCATGGCTGCGGCTTTGTTTCGATCGTCGTGGCGTTAGCAAGCAGGGCCTCTCTTTGCTGAGAGACGTGTTCTCTTCTAGGGCCAGAAGACGGCGACGGCATCATCTTGCCTTCCATCATTGCTCCTTCCTCTGCTGCTTTGGAGAAGATGGACTTCAGCAGCTCTTCTGATTCAGAATCGGAGACGGGTTCCCAGGACTCAAGGAAGGCTGAATCTAAGGAAGGCAAGCTTACACTGCCGCTTGCCGGGATCATGCAGCGAGATGCCACCAAGCAGCTGCCCAGTGTGACAGCACTTTTCCCTGAGTTCCGGCCTGGCAAGGTACAGCCAGAGAAGAAGACGCAGGGTGGGGAGCTGGGCGAGGGGCGAGCCATTCTCCAGGGCTTTGCTTCCCAGGGTCCTGAGAGGGCTCTGACCTGCCTTGTTGCTGTGACAGGCTCTACACTTTTGGCCCCAGGATCCAGTCCCCAGGTGGTCCTCCTAGGGGAGTAAGATGACTGGTTTGCTCCTTTTCCTTAAGGATTCCCTTGTGGCTCCAAAAGATTCTGAAAGGTGTGGTGATGTAGAAGAGCCCAAAAATGCTTTTCTTCTGCTCCAGCATGGCTCTTGTCACGAAGCTGGTCTAGGGCAATGAGATGCACCTGCCACGATGTCAGTAAAAGCCCCTTGGTGACGAAGTGGTCAGGGCACCCAGAAGTCTCTGGGACAGCAGCTGGTCAGGACTCTGTGGCTCACACCACCACGGCTCTCTTTCTCCCAGCCTCTGCCAACCAGCATGGTGCTTTTTTCTCCCCAAGGTTCTGCCAGCTGGCCATCTCCAGTTTGTCTCTTTCAGTCAGCCAGAAGTGGGGCGTGTGTGTGAGATTTCCCTCCTGAAAGGCTGGAAGCCAGTTTCTTGCCAGCTCCACCTTTCTCTCCCTCTCCCTCTCCCTCTCTCAGGTGCTTCGCTTTCTACGTCTCTTTGGCCCTGGGAAGAATGTCCCATCTGTCTGGCGAAGTGCACGGCGAAAGCGCAGGAAGAAACACCGGGAGTTAATTCCAGAAACACAAACCCTGGAGGGGGAAGCTTTGACTGAGCCGGGCTTGGAAGGCAAATCCCCCTGGGAATATGAATTTGCCCCACCCCCTCCCCCAGAGCAGTGTCTTTCAGATGATGAGGTGAGTCTGTGGAAATGGAGAAAAGGCACTCCCTGGGGAGAACGGGGCATTCTGGCTGCCTGAGAATCTCCCTCTACAAGAGAAGCGAGTACAAGTCAGTGCAGCTGGAGGCCCCTGGGCATGCTGCTGGCTCTCTCCCTTTAGTCTCACACACCCACGTATCCTTCAGATCACCATGATGGCCCCTGTGGAGTCCAAGTTCTCCCAGGCTACTGGAGATGCAGATAAAGTGGCTGACACCAGGCCGAAAGTGTCTGAATGGCGCTATGGTCCTGCCCAGCTGTGGTATGACATGTTGGGCATCCCTGAAGATGGCAATGGCTTTGACTATGGCTTCAAGCTGAAAGATGCCAAGGAGCAGGAGGAAGAGGTGAGTTGCGAAGAAGAGCAGCACCTCCCTGGCAGCCAGGAAGTGTCCCAGTGCCTTGCAGCTCTTCATTTTGACTCTGTAGAGCACAACAGCTGAGGAGGATGAGCTGCTGGCCGATGAACACTTCCTGATGGTAACACAGCTGCAGTGGGAGGATGATGTGATCTGGAATGGAGAGGACATCAAGCACAAAGGGACCAAAACCCAGCGAGCCAGTCTGGCAGGCTGGCTGCCTTCCAGCATGACCAGAAATGCCACTGCCTACAATGCCCAGCAAGGTAGGCTGGTCCTTTTCCTGCCTGCTGCATTTGGCTCAGCGCCTTCCAAGTCTGCTCACCCTTTCCTTGCTTCTGTTAGCAGGGCTGAACCGAAGTGGCTCCCTGCTCAACTTGCCGGTTCCCCTGGTGCAAAAGCCCAGTGTGGCAGGCGTCTTGGGCATTGCTAAGGGCAAAGAGAAACAGCTGCCTGAACAGCAAGGTAAGGAGGAAAGGTCTCAGGGCTGGAGGAGCTCTGTAGAAGTCTGGGAAAAGGACCTGGCAAGCAAAGAGCTGAAATGTAGCTGGTCTCCTTCAAGCAGTGCCTGTTCTGAATCATCCCTGCCTTGATTGAGTAGCTTTTGTGAATCAGGTTGTTGAGTGCTCTGGTACAGTGACAGTTGTTTAGCTGGACACTGTGAGTCAAACTCTTCGGACTTTGACTTACCGAGTTGGCACGAAGAAGAATTTGGGCAGCTGACCAGTCAATAGGGGCCTGATCCTCCCATTCCTCCTCTTTTTTTTTCTCCATTCTGCTTTGCCCCTAAATTTTGTTTATTTGAAATGTGGGCAGATGAGGCAGTAATGCCTGCTTTCCCTTAACTCACAATAGCACAACGTGGCCCCAGGCCTGGCTCACGGCAGGCTCTCTTTTGCAGTGGTACTAG